TTTCCATAAACCAACTGGAAAAAATACCCACTCCCAATAGGCATTTTTCTTAAATGGCAAGCTGTAACTACAGTCGTGTTGGAACGTGCCTTTGAGAATTCAGTGCCACAGAGAGGGGGAAGCCTCTACTGCCCTGGAAAGTGGACTTCGCCGCATTGTTTTCGATCTCTCTCAACATTAGTAGCCGTTTAGAGACTCATTTTCTGAGAACAGAAATAAAAAGCCTTTACGCTGTCTAAAGTTCATCCCATGTCATTTGGACGCTTTAATCATTTTGTTTTTAAACTTATGTTTCAATCATATTTTTAAATATATTCCAGTATAAATACTTACACAGCATTTAAGTAGGAAACCATTAGCTAAGGGTAGATGATCGATTTTAAAATGAGTATTTTTACCATTTAAAATGAAAAAGGCATTGTAACACCCCACTTTTCTATTCCCATATTGCTCTTACGTAAGTCAGCGTAGTATTCATTTGAGAGCTGAGGAAACTGGGGCGGAGAAGAGCAAAGGGAGTTACCCTGGAGTACAAAATGAAGGACCAGGCTGGGATGGCCATTTGGCAAACTGGAGACTGCCTTTAGTCTCATGTGCTTCATCCCTTGTCTGAACAAGTAATAGGCCATTGTTGTGTTAAATCTACATAAGCAACACAATGAACAGTAACGCCAATGTGATTTACCACTTCTTCTAGAATACAGCTACTCTCAGTGAGAAGGTTAAGGGGTTTTGGAGCCAAGATTCGATTTTTATGGCCACAAGGATGGCGCATACTGCTGCTTAAGTGTGCCAAGTGCTAGCTCCATGATCAGAAAATAAAATCAATTTTTCCAGTCATCTAGCTCATTTTCCAGGAGATACATGCTTCTTTTTTATATCCTTATTTTCCATAACAGGAAACACAGGGAGCAGGGCTAAGCAGAAATTAGATGCTCAATTTATATTTTAATATTATAAAGAATCAAGTTCATGAGTGAAATAACAAGTAACTCACTATTTCCTTCCAGTCTTTGTGCTTACATCTCTTCATTATATCCCATATTTATGTAAGTAGTATTGTAAAAATGGTTAAATGTCATTTTAAAAATCAATTATAGAATTATATCACTTCTGGTATAAAATTGGTTTCTCTTTATGTCTTTGTCATCACATTGGCAATTTAGTGGTAAAATTATCTGGACTGCAGATAACAGGTTCTCAATACCTTGGCTTGTACTAACTTTCAAATGTCCACAAGCTTTTGTGTAAAATTGGAGAGTCTATTCTTACTAAAACTTGTTTTTTAAAAATCCTGTGCTCCACAATTCACCTCCAAACTTCTCAGCTTGCTGCCATTTCAAAGTTGTTCAAATTCCCTCCCTTTTAGGGCCACGAGGATACAGACCAGGGATGGGGTCACTCGGTCATCCTTCCACACAACATTTCTTCCTTCCGAAACATGAAACAGGGCATTGCATTAATAGCCTCAGGTTTAACCAACAAAAATTTAAAACGTATGCATTATAATCTTCCTTCACCTCTCATTTTTTCCCCCTGTTCTCACAAATAGTAGCAGAGGAGGAGTTTTCTTTAGCTTTCCCTATCCATCTGGGAAGATCCCACGTCTGATTATATCCACACACACCCTCCTTTCTCCATCCCTGTCTTAGAAAGTAACTAATAAAACCTCACTGAAAGGGGGGAAAGGGTGTTGGAGTCAGAAAGGAGAAGACGGCACTTGCACATACTGGCGTTCTAGGTGTCAGACACTGAAATTCAGATGCAACGAATCTCTGGTAACGGAGGGGACATGAAGACGAGTGCTGTGGAGGAGGTAAGTCTCGGTGCCACCTGCCGTCCCATCGGGCACCTGTAAACTTTAACCACAGCACAGCTACTGTCAGCTTCGCATATGCTGATGTGAATTCTCCAGGTCAGAATTCTAGTGTATGAGGTCTAGAACTGGTCTCGTTGGATTATAATAACTATAACTTGTTTGTTACCCCTACTTGTGGAATCCAGATGCCTGAGTAATTTGTTGTTGTCTCTAGCTGCTCCACCACCACACTGCTGAGAATGCAAGTCAACAGCCCTGGAGCCCGGCTCCATCACCTCGACAGCTGGCCCGTGGTTAAGAGTCCTCATTTCCTTCCCGTCCTCTGTCTCATATCCTGTGTGTGGACATGCACTGGCCCCAGTGTAATACTCCAACCGCAGACCCTGTACTCTCGTAGGAAATCCCCTTTTTGCTCTTCTTCCCCCCTCAGAAAATGGGGCGTAAACTCACTCTGCACTTCATTTTCATTTTCCAGTTAGCCCACTCTAATTAGGCCTTCAAATACTCAAAGATCTCTTTCTTACCTTTCTTCTTAGAAGACTTTCATCATTTCAGTCTCATCTCAGGTGCCCTGTTTATGAGGCATTCTATTTTTATCACATTTAAAGTAGCCCCATTATATTACCTTGCCTATTATCTTCTTAGACTCTATCATTATTCAATGTTATATTGCTTGTATAATGTATATATTATATTATTGTATTTTATTATTTACATAATGTATTTATTAATATCTTTAATTTTTATATTATTATATTTGTTATATTAATATGTGTGTTATGGCCTTCAGAGTAGGCTACTATTTGATATGTTATTTTTCCATGTATTTATTGTGTTTTCCCCAAGTATCTGAAATTCATGAGTGTAACAGTCTTGAACTTTACCTGCACAAAGTTGTCACTAAGTACATATTTTATCAAGTGAAGAACCACTTCTGCCTAGAGTCTCAATTACTATGCCCTCCTTAGAATATGAATACACACACACACACACACACACACACACACAATAATGCTAGCTAGATTGCAATAATTAGTACATTTCTTTGGCCTCAGTATTTTATACCGTTGTCTCCTCCTATGAGGTATGGGAGTAATAACAAATGGTCTCTGCTACTCTAATTAATATCTCTGCCATTCCATCCACTCAGCAGACTTCACCAGAATTTCCCAAAGTCAGGTTATCAATGATGAACTGTGTTAAGGTCATTCCAGAATATTTCATTCCCTTCTAGTGTTTATTTGCTGTGTTATTAAATTTATTGAACAAAATGGACCTTTCTAAAAATCAGATTTCTATATTTTTGGAGAAAAATGTTGAAAATTGTACAAGGTCTAATTCTATTTTCCCATGTATCTCTCATTTAACCACATGATATCTTGCTGGAAATTTTATTCACATTATCAGGATTGTAAAAGTATATTTTTTCATAGAGAAAGTGCAAAGTCCAAATTTAAATCAGCCCTCACCTGAATTACAAGGGGTTATAAGTAAGTCCATTTACCTTATTGTGAATGTTGATAATCATTTTGATCCAAGAAGATGAAGACTTTCTTGCTATTACTTAAGAAATACTATATTTTAGAAGTTATTTGATTTTAATGAATGCTTTGTCAGCGAGAAATATGGTATGAAATAGAATTGCAAAAGTAAGATGAAGACGGTCCTAATTACTTTAAGTAGCCAGGAGGAGTGTATGCAACCTTGAAATCCAAAGGAATTCCAAAGAAAGTTTTTGGAGGGTATTGAATTCATGTTGCAGATGGGGTAGAAAGTACTAGGCCAGAGAAATATCTCAATACAGGTTATTTTCCTCAGGAAATTGTGATCATGTTTCTCTTGTTCACGAGACCTACTTAACCGTTCGGAGAAAATAAGTATCTCTGCAACTGTAGGTTTGTTTGATAGAGTCCCTTAGAATAACAATACCACTTAGCGAAACAATTTTCTGCATTAATTATAGAAATCTCATAATGTCAACCAAGATATTTTAGAATATGCTCAATATTTGAAAAGGGATCAACATATAATATTTTAGGCAAAGGTTTTAAAAGTTTCCAATTTAGGATTATTTGCTTAGTCTTCTAGAGCAGGGGTGTCAAACTCATTTTCACTGGGGGCCACATTAGCCTCGCAGTTGCCTTCAAAGGGCTGAATGTAATTTCAACTCCTTAACAGTTGAGGAGTGGTTACATTTACACAGCCCTAAAATTACATTCAGCCCTTTGAAGGCAACCTCGAGGCTAATGTGGCCCCTGGTGAAAATGAGTTTGACGCCCCTGTTATAGAGTTAGATGCTGTTATTTGTCTTTGGCGGCACCAGCCCTGCACTGTAACACCTACTGAAAGCTTTTGTGACTGAGAAAAACAATCTGTGAGATGTAAGAAATAAAGATTTTTTTAAAGAAAACTCTTTGCAGTTTATATGCTCTAAGGTATTTTGTGATGAAGATGGTGTATAAGGTAATAATGTTAAATTCATCTTTAAGGTGAGGTAATAAAAATAGCTTTCATTAAATAACACTTTTTTCATGTTTTCTTGACATCTTTTTCTCCTGGCCTTTTGTTATCCAATTTGCTCTTCAAAATTGTTAGAGGCACTGGATATGTTTACTGAATCTCTTGCTTTTCAAAAAACCAAAACAAAGTACACACAAAGAGAGAGACTCCTGAGAGAAATAGCTACTGTTAGGGTTAGGCAAACGTGGCTAAAAATAATGTATATCTTACAGACATAGCAACTAGTTAAATAGCTCTAAAAACAACACTAACGATAATATGTTGAGGGAATTTGTAACATTTGAACTATTTTTAATTAGATGAATTAACTAATTTTAATTACATAGCCATAATTATCTAAGCACTCAATACCCATTATTCTTAGGTATGTTGTATCTTTTGATTAAAAATATGTAGATTTTGCCCTAGCTGGCATAGCTCAGTGGATTGAGCTCGGGCTGCAAACCAAAGCATCACAGGTTCGATTCCCAGTCAGGGCACATGCCTGGCTTGCAGGCCACGTTCCCAGTGGGGGCCACGTGAAAGGCAAGCACACATTGATGCTTCTCTCTCTCTCTTTCTCCCTCCCTTCCCCTCTCTAAAAATCAATAAATAAAATCTTTTAAAAATGTAGATTTTAATTTTGAATGTTTTTCCCTCTCTTCCCCTTTTTGTTTCCCAGATGACACGAGAACAGTATATACTAGCAACACAGCAGAATAACCTGCCCAGGGCTGAGAATGCACAACTGTACCCAGTGGGAATTTATGGATGGCGAAAGAGGTGCTTATACTTCTTTGTCCTTCTGCTGTTGGTTACCATGATAGTTAACTTAGCCATGACCATATGGATATTGAAAGTGATGAATTTCACTGTGGTAAGTACCACCCTGAATTTATTTCACATCTATTGCTTTTTGGTTCAAAGACAATACAACTTTATTTTATTTTTTCAGTTGAAAGCTATTCATCTAAAGTTTTACATTTGGTGTGTCTTGAAATTCCAAAGGCTTTCATATACTGTTTTAAGAGTGTATTCTATATATGTATTCATGAAACACTTCTGATGTAATATTACTACTTGCCACCTAAGTGTGGGAAATCTAGATAATGAGACAGCACAGCACATTGCTTCATCAGAAATTTGGAAAACTTTTAACCAATACACAGGAACGATTGCTCATTCTACCTGGGAATCTAAGAAATGAAGCAGACATTTCACAGTAAAATTAGGTGATATTTCACAACAAATAATATCAGAAATCAAAAGTCCCTTTGAAATACTGCGTATGGTATAGAGCATTTGGCTCCCTATACCTGCTTTCTATGTAGCATACCGCATGATCAAGTCCAACCCTTAGAACTCGGTCTGGGCTGCGTGAACCAATGTGTATAGTTGTCGTCAGATGGTAAGCTCATTCTTTTGGAGCATAGATGTGACAAGTAGAAGCAAAAAAACCCCAGAAATTGAATCAAGTTTTTATGAAAATTAACCATAGTAAGACAATTTTATCATTTACTGATGAATTTGGAATGTGTGCCATAAACCTAGTAGCATGGCTTATCTGGAAAAATTAGCTGCTTCGGCAAAGTCCAGCTTAGCTCATTACATGTTTCCTGTTTAAATTCTTACATTTCCCTACTCTGTCTTTAAACTTTTTGGCTTTTGCTTAGAGACAGATATCTTCACATCCAGGCAGGTATCTCGCACTTGCTGACCAAACCACTGTTACTCTTTAAAACTCTGCATCCTCAGGGGCAAGCATAAAGTGGGCCATTTAACTTCACTGACCTTCCTGCATTGGATGTCATAAAAAAAATAAAATAATAACCTCTGCCATGTATTGATTTAGAAAGAGTAGTTTTGTTTGTTTGTTTTTTTCTGACTTGACTAACATCTGTCTCTGACTTTAAGCACCACCTCAGTAGGAAAAGTGAGCCTGCCTCCATCCGTCCACAGTGGAGGGCTCTGGGGTTGCGTGCAGGAGGGGCCTGAGAGGGCCGGCAGCCTGACTTTCCAGAGAGGAAAACCCATGTCTGTGCAAATCATGGTAAAACAGCATATGCTCACAGAGAGCGGCAAGCTGAGCAAGGGTTCCATTTTATCCAATACAGTGCAGATTTTTGAAAGACATTCATCAAGAAAGAAATGAAAGACAGAGAAAGGATGGGCAGGAATCAATATGTTCTAGGATTGAGTAATTACTTGAGAAATGACTGCATCCTAGACATGGATGCCCGTTCAGGGTCATTGATCCAGGCCTGTGAGCCTGCGGGTGACAGGAGGTGGTACTGAGGGCCACTAGGCCAGTTACTGCCTCATGAGACCCTCTGTAATACATAGGAACAGTTCCTTTGTCTCAAGAGTCGGCGCCCTCCCATCCCCTGCTCTTTCCTCTACACATACTTGCAAGTATTTGGGCACAAATGTCAGCAGTTGCATCCCTAAGCCTTTCTGTTCCTCTGATCTCTGCTCCTCCCTACTCTTCCTAGTGTCCAGGCTTCGTTGATGATTTATATATCACATTAGTCGGGGCACAGTGTATAACCCTGTGGACTCTTTTACGCTGCCGTAGCCATCCGTCAAACTTGCCGTTGCTGACAGCAGTTTTTCAACCTTGTTTCCTTAATTAAAAAAAAATTAAAAAGAAATAAAGAGCAGAGTTTTCTCTCCAAGTTTTGGAAGTTTGAGGCTTCAATTTCCTCTACCAAAAGACATCTTTCAAAAGCTCATGAAAGATGTGATCAACTCTCGCATCAGGGAGCCTTGATTCTATCCAGTGACCAGGCCACAGGTTTTCAGTCTCAAGCCGTGAGAGCGCCTCATGCATATTTAAATTAATTAGGAAAATAGACTTAAATGCATAATTACATGGCTGCATGCATCGAGCTCCCAATATCTTGCCCCATGCTGAGGTCAAGGCTAGATAAGCCATTCAAGGAAAATAATTGAAACAATCACCTTTGTCCTCAGGATCCACACAGGCCTCAGGGTTTCTGTCGCGTATGGAGCTATCTAATTTGAACCTCAGCTGGCAAAATAGTAAATGTCATCATATTCCTGGTGATAATGAAAAAGAGTTTATTTCCATAGGAGGCTTGATATTTATATATATGCATTAAATTTGGAGCATATCTTACTTATTTTGAAATTACAAAGTTACTGTTTCATAATCAAAATAGAAGACTAACCTTCCTTCAGCCATGTAATCTATTTGCATGTAGCTGAAATGAAAGGAAAGATGAAATTGTCGTTATTGCATCAAAGTAATCTTTGTAAAGTAACATATTCCCTATACAATGCAGTAATTCATAATCATTCAAAGAAATTCAAAATTACTCCAATAGTTGCAGAATTGAGCAATTCTCAAAATTACACATCAGATTAAGTTGTATATACTTGAAAAGTGCAAAATAATTTGTAATCCTCTCACACTGGAATAGTAAAAAAAATCAGTTTTATGTTTTCCCTGGTCCATTACGACTGTATCCATCTCTAGAGTGACTACCAAACTACCTGCCGTAATACAGTAAGAACTGGTAAATGATATGTAAATTGTTTGGGGATTATTATGGATCTGCACAAAATGTATATCATTTTTATTTTAACTGTTGCCATCCGATGCATAAAAATATGTGGCTGTTAACATCTTTTATTTGAGCAAACTGGGCATGTTATTGTTATTAAAATATGTGTTTTCAACACAGCAAAGGTAGCTGCCAACCTGTTTTATAGTACTTTTTGGAGTCCATCATTATGATCAGTATTATGCATAATCTGTAGGGTTATTGTGATTTTATTTTGTTTCTCATTTTGTGGAAAATAAAATCACTCTGCTATTGAGATATTCATTTGCAGAGAATCAACAAAAAGGAAATGACTTATACTAACAGGGTGAAAGACTTTATTATTTTAAAAATCTTTTCCTAGTTTCCTTTTTTATTGTATTTTTTCCATTACCATTTATCCCCCTTTTACCTTCTTCTGCCTCCACCCACCTCCCTTCCTTCCCAATCCCCACTCTGTGCTCCACGGCCACGTGTCCGTGTTCTTTTTTGCTTGATCCTTCCACCCTCTACCAACTCCCCCAGAGCTGTCTTTCTGCTCTCTATGAGTCTGTCTCTATTTGCTTGTTAATTCAGTTTGTTCATTAGAGTCCACATATGAGTGAAATTATATGATATTTATCTTCTTCTGACTGGCTTACTTCACTTAGCATAATGTTCTCCAGTTCCACCCATGCTGTTGCAAAGGGTAAAATGTTTTTCTTATTTATGGCCAAGTAGTATTCCATTGTGTAAATGTCCCATAGTTATTTTATCCACTCATCTACTGATGGACACTTGAGCTGTTTCCAAATTTTGGCAATTGTAAATAACACTACAATGAACATAAGGGTGCTTATATTTTTTCAAATTAGTGTTTTGGGTTTCTTTGGTTAAATTCCCAGAAGTGGAGTGAATCACTGGGTCATAAGGCAGTGAAATAAATCCATGCCTTTATATTCAATTAATATTTGACAGTGGAATTAAGCACATACAATGGGCTAAAGATAGTTTATTCAATAAATGGTGGTAGGAAAATTGGACAGGTACATGCAGAAAAATGAAACTAGACCACCTTCTTCTGCCACACACAAGACTAAATTCAAAATTGGATCAAAGACTTAAATGTTAGACTCAAAACCAGAAACATCCTAAATGAAAACATAGGCAGTAAAATCTTGGACTTCATAGCAATATTTTTTTCTGATATATCTCCTCAGGCAAAAGAAACAAAAGACTTTAGATACAAACAATAATTTCCTAGCTATGAGAGTTGATGAATATAGGAATAAGTTGAAGAGAGAGACTTCAAAAGCCATTCTCCTTCGATCAGTATAACTCAAGCACATGTTTTTGCTCCTGTTACTGTTATTGTTGTTGTTGCTATTGTTGCTGTTGTTGTTGCTGTTGTGTTATTGTGTTATTGTGGTGTTGTTGGTGTCATTGTCATTGTTATATGGTTGGTTGATATATCTTTGTTGCTCAACATGATTGGACGAGTTCAGCAGAGCTACCAAAGTGAAGTATTTTATGAGATAATATTCTTTTCTTGTCTCAAGTGCCCTTTCTAAGTTGGTAAGTTCTGTATTTGAAAATTGAAAATTAATATAATATTAAAGTGTTCATTTTAATCACAAGAGTACAAGAGTACCAAGTAAAGGTCAGTGGCATTCAAGAACATCTTAATTTGATTAGAAATGTTAGCTGGCCATCAGAAGAAAGAATGGAAACTGCAGTGTCATTTATTAAGCAAAGAGGGAGAGGAAATTCATGAATGTTGTGACTAAGAGGTCAGGAATACCCAGATGCGGGTAATAATTGAAACACTTATTTCAACAAATTGGAAAAAATTTCTTAGAGACTTGTTTGATCAGTAGAATGAATGTTGCCTGAAAAGCAATCCCAGAACCTTCCAGATACTGCTGGAGGTCACTCAACAATATTTTCTCCATTTGGTCACTCGGCACCTGCTTACACACTCCTGCAATGACATGCAAACCATCTTATTAAACCCCTGGGTACTTTTATTCTTATTTCATTTCTTGCTATTGTGTTGTAGTCTCCCTGTATATCACTCTAATCATGGGATCCTAGTTACATTCTTTCAATCTGACATAAATTTATTAATTAATTCATCAAGACCATGACACATCATAATGGACACATAGATAAACACAAACATATATATGCACATACACATATATGTTAAGGATACATAAGTTTGTTTAATGTCTAAAAATCAAAATATATAAGAGAGATTCTTATGCAGTCACTTTGGTTTCTTTACTTGCCACTTGCTTTTCTTCATTTCAAATGTAGTACCTAATTGCAA